AGTACAGTTTGTTTTTATAGGTCTTGAATCCATGCCAGATACGTTTACGGGATCACAGTCCAACAGAAACACATTGCTACTCACTGGGAATTAATATTTAATGGCCAAAAAAAAAAAAAAAAAAATAAAAAAAAAAAAATTATAATAATAAAAAAAAAAAAAAAAAGAAAGAAAAATAATCAGTCATGGAGAGAATGGGGAAGAAAACAAAAATAAACAAAAAGATGAGTCAGGGCCAGGCACAGTGGCTCATGCATGTAATCCCAACACTTTGGGAGGCTGAGATGAGAGGGTCATTTGAGCCCAGGAATTCTCTAAAACTGGTGTTGTCAACATCAAACATTAAATATGTTAAATTGCATGAAAACTAAGGCTACACATCTTATCTGGCTATGTTTGAAATGAATTTATTATAATCTCACTCAATTTGAAAGGAGTCTAAACTGATCATGCCTCTTAAAATGTCTTATTTAGGGAAATTTACTGCAAATATTCACACACTCTCATTCTACACCTCAATAATTTCTTAATGTGACAGACTCCTAATCCCAGAAGATCTTTAAGTTAAATAACTAGAGGCCAGGTGCCGTAGCTCACACCTATAATAACAGCACTTTGGAATCTGACGTGGGCAGACTGCTGAGTTCAGGAGACCAGACTGGGTAACATGGCAAAACCTTGTCTCTTCAGAACATACAAAAATTAGCCGGGTATGGTGGTGCACACCTGTAGTCCCAGCTACTTGGGAGGCTGAAGTAGGAGGATCGCTTATGCCCAGGAAGCAGAGGTTGCCAGTGATCTGAGATCACACCACTGCACTCCAGCCTGTGAAACAGTGAGACCCCATATCAAAAAAAAAAAAAAAGTAACTGTTTATTGTAAATGTTCATGTATAAATGAACCAGAAAATAGCTCTACAATTTGATATAAATAAAGCTACATGCAATAATATCACCAAAGAAAGAACCTAGCATGAAAATATTAACTAAATGGTTAGGTTTCAAAGACACTTTGAATTCTGGATATCTTAACTCAAAGAATCCCAATAATATATTAAATTCCTTGGATCCTCACTGAAAGTGAGAAACTCATTTCTAAGCATATGTGCACAAGTACCTTAGCCTCTTCATGCCTGCTTGCCTGTCCCACAGTCAGAGAAGGCAGGATATTTGGTTAGGCATATGTTTACGAGTACAGATAGGAAAATTCCAACTTTAAAACCAAATATTTTCCTTGTTTAATTCTGGTATCTTATTGGTCCATATGCTGCCTCCTCCTCACAGTATGGTATCCAAATCTCCTAGATTGTGACTTTCTTTTAAAGCATAATGATAACATCAAGCAGACAGAATTGAAGAGTGGAAATACTATATGAGAAAGCAGAGCAAAACAGATGATGCTCTAAATGCATACTGACACACTTGCTGAAGACATTAGGTGCTCCATAAATGCTTGCTGAAATGCTGTTTGTCAACATTTGTTGTGAAAAATTCATCTCTTTCTCTAATTTAAGAATCCTCGTAAGTTAACCACAATCAGTTCTACATAATTTAATGGAAAACATCTGGTGGCATCTGGTGGCACTTTTAAATGTTTAAGGATAGAATTTCACACACTATGCCTGCCCCCATACCCACTGCAGCAGGAGAAAATGAGGCTAAGGAGAAAAGCAAGATGAGTATCAGGAGAGCCCTAAATATGTATATCATTTGTTTATCCATATCTATATTCTCAGATTTTCTAAAGAATGCCCCATCCTTTCTTTTTTTTTTTTTTTTTTTTTTTTTTTTTTTTTTTTTTTTTTTTTTTTTTTTTTTTTTTTTTTTTAGCTTAAGCTAGCTGGATTTTAGTTTCTGTATTTGCAAACAAATACTAGTATAGAGTGCCTGTCCAGTGCAAAAGAAAATCTTGTCTCTGCCTCCACAATGTCCATATATATAACAGAATCGTACCAATGTCCTTTTATGGTAATTGACAAGGTGACCACGATAATGAGGAAAAGAAACAGGTTTGAAAAATAACCACAATCCCTCTTAGAGACAATATAAATTAAAAAGATTTTGAGAAGTTATTCAGTAAAGAAACTTCTTTAAACTCAGTTGAACTCACATTTATCAATCATATTTGAGCATGGAATCTTTTTAAATGAACTTCTTATGTCTTTGGGAACTACTAACTGGTAGAGCACAGTTTGAGAAATGCTAGTTGGAAGCATGACCAGGATTCCTTAGATCTAGCATACGAAGAAAAATGGAAACAACCATTCCTATCTGCTTCCTCATATACTAAAAATGTTAAATATAACAGGAGATCACAGAACTCAATTTTGAATGTAAAAGTAACATTCTAGATTGAGAAACTTACCTGCATTGAAATAAGAATGAAATCAATCAGGCTCCCAATTCCACAAAACCCAACAGTGCAAAACTTTAACAAACCTAGAAAAGAAGGTAAAGTCATTTATACTCTGGAAAGTCTTCTAAATATTAACAAACTGTTCCATTTTCCAATAAACCATTATATATATCACAAGCTTTTTACATCAAGAACATAAAAGTTACAATTTAAAAAATCAAATCTTCACTTGAAAATGAGAAAAGTTTAAAGGAACCCTCTACATAGAAATGCCAAAAAATAATATATTAATTCTCTTAACAAATAAATATTAGTAACTGAAAAAAAAACCTCAATATAATCTAACAAAATTTCTAAGAGAAAAGGCCTAAGGAAGTAATCTTTAAATCTCAACACACCAGAATTACAAAACATCTTTTAGTCCTAAAATCCTTAATTACTTATTTAGACTTCATACGTTATATGACCCAAAATTTACTATACATTTGGAGAGTTCAAATATATAAATTGTCGTGCCAAAAAAATAATCAGGAAAAAACACTGATCTTGTTGTAAAATTGCAAAATTTTATTACCAATCCAATTATCTTTAATTCATCCTATATATTTATTTTTCCTACATATTTCCTGTTTATTAGCTCTATAATCAAAATCAACAATTCTGTGCTGAGCATTATATACAGCTTTGTCTTTGGTCCCAACCCAAGAGCTAAGATGCTAAAATAGATGATAACAGAGTATCTAATATAGGACATCTACAACAATATAACTCAAAAACATGATTGTAAGAGGCAGATTGGGGGTGGGCTGGGGGTGGGATGATTAATCTCTTATGAATTTAAACTTGAATTTCTTACAAGACATCTCCTATGAGATATAAAAATGGTATAAGACAAGACTCTTGGTGAAAATTTAGTTCCATATATCAACTACAAATAGATGCCAGCTAAAAAGCCTAAGAGAGGATGAGATCGCCTCCCACAATCTGGGAATACACAAATAAGACTGAGCTATGTAGGGACCTTAGATGATTTTTCCCCCCACATATAGAAGAATAATGTTGTAAGTACAGAAATAATATATGGCAGTAAGTTAATAACTATTAAAATACAGAGATAATTAAAAATTTTGCTTTTAGTTTCCTCAAAACATTTATTACTTACCTAACATTTTATCTTTGATTACTATCTATCACACAGAAGCCCCATTAGGGCCGGGCCCTTTATCTGCTTTCTTCACTCCTGTGTCCTTAGTGCCAACAACATTGCCTGGCATATAGTAAATGCTCAATATTTACTAAATAAATTGATAAATCTTCTCATATTTCTGTTTCCCAAACACTCCCATCATTTCATCCATTACCCCTTAGTTTTTCTCATTAGCTGCACAGTACTATAGCAGCCCAAGGAAAATTGTCTGCTGACATTTTATCCACTCATGTCTCATGTCTATAATCCCAGCACTTTGAGAGGCCAAGGTGGGTGGATCACCTGAGGTCAGGCGTTCGGGACCAGCCTGGCCAACCTGGCGAAACCCTGTTTCTACTAAAACTACAAAAATTAGCTGGGCATGGTGGTGGGTGCCTGTAACCCAGTTACTCGGGAGGGTGAGGCAGCAGAATCACTTGAACCCAAGAGGTGGAGGTTGCAGTAAGCTGGAGATTGCACCACTGCACTCCAGCCTGGGTGACAAACGGAGGCTTTGTCTGAAAAAAAAAAAAAAAAAACAGAGAAGAGAGACAGAACATTAAGTGTGATCCCTCCAGAGTTCTATTTTTAACTGCTAGTCCATGAAGAATAGGTAATCACATCAGGGCCTTTGCTTTTTTTGTGCCATTTTCCAAGGATATTCTTCCTTTAGGCCACTTCTTCAGAGAAGTCTTCTCTAACCTGCCTGTCTGAAGCAGCATGTCACCCCATTCCCGCCCCATAACCCATTATGCCTGGCTAGTTTTTAAATTTTTTGTAGAGACAGGGTCTCACTATGTTGCCCAGGCTGGTCTTGATCCTCCTGCCTTGGCCTCCCACACCTGACCTAAATTTCTTTTTTCTTGTTATTTTTTTTCTCAGACCTCTCAGGGATGAGTAAAGTTTTTGATTATAATAACTGTAGTAGGAGAAATAGTGACAACAAAAGTAGTAGCTGGGCTAACATTTCTTAAATGTATCTTATCTCATTTAATTCTTATTGCCATTCCTATCTTTGTTCATAAAGTATTTTTATATTTGAAAACTTAAAACAAGTTTAAGGAGGCATTATTGGAAACCTCATGACTAAAATCATCTTTTGCCTTAAATTAGTAGAAATAGATGGACCATAGACTAGGTAACATTATACATGTGGAGTAAGATACGCTGTAAGTCACTGTAATGATTAAACCTTCAAGTTTTTTTTAACAGTCAACTGGTAAGTCTAAATGTGCTACTCCAGGATTTTCTTTCTTTTCTTTCCTTCCTTCTTTTCCTCTTTCTTTTTCTTTCTCCTTCTTTCTTCCTTCCCTTCCTTCTTTCCTTTGCAGGGGTCTCAGTATTTCCAAGGGTCTCACTGTGTTGCCTAGGTTGGTCTTGAACTTCTAGCCTCAAGTGATTCTCCTGCCTCCCAAAATGTTGAAATTACAGGTGTGAGTCACCAAGCCTAGCCTCTTGGTTTTTTAAAACAGCTTCATTGTGCTACAAATGACATACATTAAAATGACATACAATGACATAAATGACATATAATGACATACATTGTATTTAAAATGTACAATTTGATAAATTTGACACTTGTATAAAACCTGTGAAACAATCACTATAAGAAAAAAAGACCATTTCTGTCACCCCCAAAAGTTTCCTAATGCCCCTTTGTAATTTGTTTCTTGTCTCTCCTTGCCCCCGTCTTTCCCCAGCAAGCACTTATCTGCTTTCTGTCACTATACATTAGTTTGTCAGTTCCCTAAACTTTTAAATATCATCACTGATCTGTTGTCTAGTTTCCTTAAACGTATTACTTCAGGAGTTGGTAGTATTTACTAGAGTTCCAAACACAGATATTATTCCCTTATCTAATCTTTTATCTTAGCAGAAACCTCTCATGTTCATTTTTGTGAAGCATCCTTAAGAAGGGGTTCTGTAGCATAATATCTAGATTTCCTTGAATTTATCATCTTACTCTGTTATGGGTGTTATTACATTACTTTGCCAATAAACATACTTCTATATCATTGTTTTAAATGGCTGCATAGTATTCTGCTGTGTTACACATTGTCTCTTAATTTTTTGAGGCAGTTCCTCCCTATTGAACATTTAGCTTGTTTCTAGTTTTTTGGATATTTATACGACAAATATTTATCACCGTATTACTGTTTTGTCAAGTTCCGTTCAGGATATCAACTTGCACACAGATAAGGCCTCTGCCTTTAAGAATGTACATTCCAGGCCAAGCGCGGTGGCTCACACCTGTAATCCCAACACTTTAGGAGGCCAAGGAAGGTGGATTACCTGAGGCTGGGAGTTTGAGACCAGCCTGACCAACACGGAGAAAACCCGTATCTACTAAAAATATAAAATTAGCCAGGTATTGTGGTGCATACCTGTAATCCCAGCTATTCTGGAGGCTGAGGTAGGAGAATCACTTGAACCTGGGAGGCAGAGGTTGCAGTGGCCCAAGATCACACCACTGTGCTCCAGCCTGGGCAACAAGAGCAAAACTCCGCCTCAAAAAAAAAAAAAATCCAAAGGAAGATAGATAGTGAATAAATGAACAAACCCCTGAGGCTAACAGATTTATAATTAGCACTATGAAGAAAAAAAACTATATATAACTAGAACTACTGCTTTTCATAACTATGAAGAAAGATTAAATAAGATTAGTTTTAAAACAGGATTTTTTTTCTTTTTTCTTAACGGGATCTCACTATGTTACTATGTTGTCTCTGCTGGCCTTGAACTCCTGGCCTCACGCAATCCCCCCACCTCAGTCTCTTGAGCAGCTGAGTCTATGGGCATACATCACTGCACCACGCAAAAAATGAAATTTTAGATTTTGTCTATAACTACTTTCATTCCAGTCAACACTGTATTATGTAGTTAAGAATTTATTTTTAAGGCAGCGATCATTTAAAACAAAAAGGCCTAAATTCCTTAACCTTGGATTCTTAATAAAAATTAAACTGTATTTAAAATATTTAAAAATTTTAAATTGGCCAGGCACTATGGCTCATCCCTGTAATCCCAGCACTTTGGGAGGCTGAGGTGGGAGGACAGCTTGGGCCCAGGAGTTCAAGACCAGCCTGTGTAACATGGCGAAATCTCATCTCTACAAAAAATACAAAAAATAAGCCAGGCATAGTGGTGCATGCCTGCAGTCCCAGCTACTTGGGGCAGGACTGAGGACGGAGCATACCTTGAGCCCAGGAGGTCAAGGTTGCAGTAAGCCATGATCATACCACTTCACTGCAGCCTGGGCAACAGAGTGAGACCCTGTCACAAAAGAAAAAAAGAAAAAAGAAAAGAAAAGTGATTACTTCTGATACCTAAAAGGGTAATTTCTGATATCTAAGGGGACCCAACTCCATAGCAAGACACTCAAAGCATTTTATATTCATAGACTACATCTCTAGGCAATGTCACCTCCTGCATCGTTCTTCCTATACTATTGGCGAAATTATCCCCCAATCTCTCAATGCACACCTATGCTCTTTCATACCCTTTACACATGCTGTTCTCTGCAATGCCTTAAACCTCTGTAATCTCTTCATCCTTCAAAACCTGGCTCAAAGGTCACCACATCTAAGAACTTCTTTCAGTCAACTGCATCAGTCCCTTTTCTATACTCTGACAGCACTGTGTTATGGTTCTGTTATGGTGCTGCATCATAAATTGGCCTACTCATATATTTATTTTATTTTTAACCAATATACACTATGACCGTCATTATTTCCCTGTCACTTAGTTATTTAAATGTTGAATATATGTTTAATTAAATAAACAAGTATATAGAGTACTTTATAACATTTACTTATGAACTTATAACACTGAGTTTCAGTACAGCCGTCAGAAATACACCTACCACCAACCCCACAGTAAACACTTCTCTTTGATCTTTTGTGGGTAGCAACATGGAAGAAATAAGGTTAGCTTTGTTAGCTAGAAGGCAGAGCATACAAAAACTTTAAATTTGCTCAGTGAAGGGCTAAAATAGAAGCAGAGTAGTACAGTAAATAAAACATGATCTCCGGAGCCAGGAAATTGAGGTCACTAGCTGAGTGTCCTTGGGTAAATCTCTTAATCTTGTGACAATTTTCCTATCTATAAAACAAGATGATAACAACAAATATGTCACAGAATAAAGAAAAGACTCTAGACTCAGTAAATCCCTTAACCTCTCTGGTGACAGTTTCCCTACCTGTTAAAGAGGATTTAAAGAGGATGATAAACTCAGAGGATTGTAAGGCTCCAATAAGGGCAGGCATGTGAAAGTACTGTTTAAACAAAAGCTATGGTAAAATGTAAATAGTTTTTATAAGCATTAGTAACTATGGTAAATGTGATTACAGAAGGAAGATATAGAGAGGGAGGCTAAGGGTGACAGAAGTCAGGCTCCCACCCCAGCTCAAGTTGGAACCAAACTTCCAACCCCAACTTGTTCTGAAAGAAGTGCGTAGTTTCTAATCCCAGGGCAATGGTGAAAGAGATTTGGGTAGAAGGAAATATTTTTTGTAGGGGTAGAGGATATACATTTATTCACAAAATATTTACTAAGCATCCAGTGTGTGCCAGCACCAGCAGTGACAGTTTCAGCGTACCATCTTAAGTAATTGCCTATACTATCTTGTGTGTGTCTTCATAAAGGTGAAAACATAGGAAAAGTCAGTATTTCTTACCTAAGCTGAACTCCTGGGCTAATTGATAGCTCTACACTCACTGAAGAATGTTAACTACAAGTCCAATTATATCGTACTTATAATATGCAAAGATTTAATCTATAAGAACACATATAATGAACTAGAATGCAGGTTTCATGGCTGGGCGTGGTGGCTCACGCCTGTAGTCCAAGTACTTTGGAGGCCAAGGTGGGCGCATTACCTGAGGTCGGGAGATCAAGACCAGCCTGACCAACATGGTGAAACCCCGTCTTTAAAAAAAAAAA